ATAAACTGTGCTCACTGCCAATTACTACCTGAAACAATAACCCAGATAACCTTTAGATAAAAAATAAAAAAACATCGCCCATCTGAAGGTCCCTAATCTCCCTCCCCCCCCCCATTACTTTGAATGTCACTCTCCCACACTTCTTACCTCTTTCTGGATGGTCACTTTCATCTTAATCCGTTTGGAGTGTGGCTCTGTCCACAGGAAGCCGGCATCAATGAGACGCACCTGTGAAGAGAGAGGTGTTGTTGAATCCATGAAGTAGCATGAGACGCGACCGCATTTTCACGCAAGTATTGTAGTGAACATGGCACACATTATCATGACAAAACAGATATATTGGGTGGACACATTATTATGGTAATGTGATTAATTAATTTATGAAATTCAAAATAACAACAACTGACGAGGTATTCTTTTTGAAAATAAAATAAGAATATAATAAAAAATAATTAGGCACAATAACAAGATGCTACTGAAACAAGCAGTTTAACATCAAAATCTAAATCATATCATCCAAGTTTAGGAGGCGACATGCTGGATTTTATTGTACATTGTTTGTTTTGTGTCTGAGTGTAAATATGCTATTGTCTTTTGTTTAGTTCAGTGTGAATCACACTTACTTTGGTCATAGAGCTCTTGATTTTTTTCAGGCAAAGGGCCAGCAGTTCCCTGGACTCCAGGGCACACTGCACCCAGGAGGCTGGAGGCTGCAAGTACCTGCATGAGAGATAAGATACACATTCAACTTTCCCCAACAGAATTTACCTGTGAATGTTTTCGGGAGGGAAACAATGATGCGATCTGTCTACCACACTGTAAGATAAACATATGATTGCTTTGTGCATGTAACAAACCTTTCGCACTGCTTGCAGAAGTGCACTGTGACTTGCTTGGGGATTCCCTCTGAGATGTCTACCTGAGTACGCAGGCAGGCCACACACATGTTGGCTGGGTTGGGAGGAATGGGGACGCCACAGGTACAGCACAGGCTAGGGAGGAGAATCAGAAATACTTTATTCATCCCCGGGTGGAATTTTGTTTGTTACAGTTGTTCTACTGATATATATAATAAAAAGTACTTAGTAAAGGTTGCTCTCAGCGGCTTTGTGAAAAGAGCTTCAGAGGAAACACTTAACTATGAAAATGGACTAGGAAGTCCTAATGAAAAGATAACATATTTTGTGAAAACAGCTCATGGTTTAGTGCCATATTGTGTATTTTTGCATTTTCCAATACTCCGTTCTTTCAACTGTATTACAAGGATGTGATATGCAACCTTGAAAAACAAAGATCACCTGCAAATGTATACTATGACAGATTACCAGATGTCCAGTTTATCCAAATTGATTAATATTCTGTACTGACACAATCTGCCACTACAGAGGAAGGGGAGTTTACTTTAATACATCTGTCAATAAAGCAAAGTTGTGATAAACATTTCTCATTGTGAACATTTTGATTTAGCAAACACGGGCAACACTAATATCTTAAATGAATAAATAATGCCATTTAGGTGCTCCGTCAGGGCCCATTGTGAGTGCTGGCTTATTGGTGTGGTACACTTCAACAGAGCAATGAATGATAATACTTACAGACATGTTTTTGATCATGAGAAAGGTCTCTAGTGAATCAGGACTCACACAATACTACATATTTAAAGACATAAGTTTGTTTAAGTTGTTTTTCACTCACATGTTCCCCTGGCTGCTTGTGGCTGGAGCTTGCATGTACTCCATCCTCGTCAACCTAACAGGTCAGTGGATCTCAGTGGATCTCCAACGAGGTCTGAGGAGAGAAACATGACAGATTTGAACATGTAACTGGCCTTGTCCACAGCTAAAGCACAGCTCTGACAGTAGCACGACTGCTGACACAGGTAAATATGATAATGTGGTCTCCTTGTTATGTGCACTTATTATCAGACTGCTAGGTGATAGAAACCCTGCAGTACATGCTCTGTCGTTAACGCTGCTGGCTGATGCTGCACACTCACTACCAGACAGTTAGCATTACAGGCTACATCGCCGGTTTTTAAGAGTGATTCTACCGGATATCCGCAGAGAAACAAACACACGGTGTCAACCAGAAGTAATCGATAACTGCGGCCGGTACAGAGGAGCGGGGACAACACGTACTGACGTTATTTCGACGGGAAACCCACCACACACCGTGAAGTGAAGCTCTCCACGTTTTCACCACCGAGGAGCGAGGGAGGCTGGGTGACGTCATGCGGGACTCGAGGACCCCGGGCCTGTCTTTGTCTGCCTGAATAAATGTCCTTCAGAAATTAAATAAAGAGGCGAACAAAAGTCTAGTTAAAAATATTACTGGCTTTAAATCCGTGTATTAGCTAACCCGCAGTACAAAGAAGTAAAAAAAAAAAGGGAGGACTATTTTTATTATGTTCTATTTAGATATGAAATTCTGCCCTGCCACTGACAGCTGTAATATAATATGGATATACAATATACAATATGTATTAGGCTAAAGGTCAGCAAAGTGAATGAATAACTTATATAAAAAAAATATATTTTTTGAGAAATGTATACCGATATCAGATCTTGACTTGGACAGAAAAGAAATAGTAGGATTCCATATATGCATGTAGCCTTTCTATTTATTTCGTTTTTTATTAAACTCACTGTAAATAATTTCAGCAGTAATATTATAGCAAGGACAGTCTAGCATTTATTTGTATGAATTAAGTATATTTGCTTCAGGACTGTTTGAATTTTTATGACCCGCTCACAATTCAAATTACAGACCTGTTAACCTCAACATTCATAAACAACACCTGCATGCAGAATTGCATTTATTTCCCCTCTAACCATGGCCAGAGCAATTTACTTGGGGGGGGCTGGGGCCAAAATGAACTGCTATTAACCCCCCTGTTCCTCTCACTCTGTGCAACAGATAGTACTCCTATGCTGAAATATGACAGGACAACACACACTTTGATAACACACAGTTTGTAGTGTTTTGGAATATGCACCATGTATGCACAAAGCCAGCCTAAATAATGAGGGTCTTAACACTGGATTTTTACACAAGGACCCTCCTCAAGACATGGTCGCGAGATCAAGTAATAATTCACCCCCCAATCAAAAATCTATTGCCACCAGGGGCTTGTGGGGCCCTTGTGTGCCTGGGGTCCCTGGGCAGTTCCTAATCCAGTTGATCCACTTTATGAGTCTGATTTTGTCAGTTGTTAGTGAAATTAACAAAGTTAGGCCCCACGTGTTTTAACATCTATATAATTAATCAATCTACGGTCTTTGTGAACACCTGTGGGGCGATAGCTCTCTGGACGCCTTCACGTGCTGTCGGAAATATCTAAATTCAAAACGAGCGAACATTAACAATCATACTTTAAGTGAGCTAGTAAATTAACAATGACAGGAACTCTGGGAATACTTTCGCTACCAAGATGTGACTATTAATGAACAGTGTGCGTGAAAGCTGTGCTGAAAATGGTAAATGTGTTATGGTCGTTTTATGGTCTTTTTACTTAAATATTGTTTTACTCAGGTTAAAATGTTGTTGCAGTCACAGAGCCAATAAAGGTTGAGCTGTTTAGTGCTCTTGTAGAACTAACATGGATACTAACTGAATTCAATTCAATTTAGTTGGGGAATTTAGATATTTTTAGGTCAGTTCAAGAGCTATGGCAAATTAATCTACAATATGTAAAGATGCTGGAAGTCTATTTTCACTGCTTCAGCTATGTTATTGTAACAGCCAGTCATCGTTGTGGGAAGTGTTGGGTGATAATTCAGTATTATCATTTTATCAAATTTCAATGAAATCATATACTGATGATATGATCTTATCATTCAATAACTGTATTCTATCTCTGTTTTCTTGATTTAACCCTAATTGTATTCCATTTTAATTAGGCTTTAATTGCATAAATGGTGTGCTAAATTTGTGATGCACAAACGATAATTAATAACCTCGAATCATATCGCAATACCCAAATGTCATGTTTTCACCATATTTCACTTTTTAATCAAACGCCCCAAGGTTTATTCTGCGGTCAGCAACTCGCTCCTTATTACGAGCTGCACCTGAAGGCAGCAGCACTCAGTCAGGCAGCGGCGGAGAGTCGCAGGCAGTGTGGCAGCTGGGAATGTGAGGGTTTCCAACACAGACTGCTATTTTCAGGGGACTGGGAACAGTAGCGGGGCTGGCCAGGGAGAGACTCAGCCCACAAGCTCCACTCTAGCCAACAACACTGGCTCACATTTGAAGTCGAAACAGGAGGAGGAGGAGGAGGAAGGGAGGAAGAGGAGTGGTGGGTTGGGGTGGGTGGGGGTTGCGACCTGCGCTTTTCTCTCCGGGGAGTCGGGTGTCTTTCTCGGTCCGCGTCGGATGGTCAAAGGACAGCCCTTGGTGGCTCACTGCGGGGCCTGACGAACCGGGGATGAGAAGCGGTTGAACAGCTGGAGAAAAACGTGTTTGCCTACATCTCTCCCGCCTCGGGTTGTATGTATGTAATGTTTTGTATGTAATGATGTATACGTACGCGTACCTCCTTGTCTGGTTGAGTCCGGTTAAAAAAATGCAGTGAAACCCTGTTTTTTTTTTTTTTTTTAGTGGTTTTAAGTGGTTTATGTGTGTGCGGGTGTGAATACGCTCGGGGTAAGCGCTCCCTGGTTTCGCCGGGCTGCAAAGGCGGTTCACGCAAGACGGATGGAGTGAGAATCGGTGCGGCGGGCGCGGACCGGACACACACACTAGCGCGATTCCCTGCGTGTAGAGATGAAAGTAGAGAGGTGATGGGAAGGGATCAGATGGACGGCGTGCGTGGTCGGGTCGGTGGTTAGGCCACCCCAATTTGGATCATTGCGTTATTTTTGGCTAGGACCGGGACTTGTTCCTGCTGTGGTATCAGCCTGGGCTCTGTGGAGTTATTCTGTGCCACACGGACGAAGTGGAAGACCTATCGTCAAGTCCAGCGATTGCGGTCAAGATGTCAAGGGGGAAAGTGGCCAGATATGCAGAACGGAGCGGGTTCGGCGGGGCCTGGGGACGTCTTTGGACGCGGATTTCTCAAGACCTGGGAGTTCAACGAGCAACGAACGTCCGGTGGTACTGCCATCCAAGCCGGCGAGACCGACAATGGGAGGACAGGGTTCGAGGGGTGGCTATGGGACAATCGGGGTCAACAAGAAGCCACCGTCTATATTTGGGTCTTTGGAGATGGCCATGGAGGAGAGGTGAGTGGCGCCTTTGTGGTGGAAGAGGGGGGGGGACAAAAAGGGGAGAGCAAGGTGTCTTTGGCATCCAGTCCATAGACTGTGTGTGGGTACCCAGGGGGCCCTAAACTGAGCTATAGGGGCTTTAAAGTCTCAGGTCAAGTGTGTTTTTGTATTTATATTTGTTTTCAACTCTGCTTTAAAGACACTTGTCTTAAATCCACAAGTGAAACAAAGTGGAGCAAGCCACAATTTAGATAAAAGTATCCTTCTTAGGACTGCAACTAACTATTGATTTGTTTTTAGACAGTTAGATCAATAAATTGCTTCGATAAATGTCAATTGCCCATCAGAAGTTACCAGTGTTACCACCTGCTTTCTTGTGAACCAGCTGCTCTTTTCAGAACCAACGTTTGTGTCAGCTGATGAATAAGTGATGTATCTAATTAATTTATTAGATTTGTGTGGATTTACATAAGATTTGTGTGTGGAAGTGAGGATGGCTGTGGACATTTGCAGGGCCGGCTCAACCTGCCAGGGGGCAAATTGAGCGGCCCCTCATTTGCTGTATGGTAATTTTATTAAACAGGAATTAATTCAGGTACAAAACTGAAATAATTAAGGTCTTTAAACTAAATGTTGATGCAAAGTCCCTCTTTAGGAAGGTCGGGTAATAAAACAGGACCCACTTTAAGGCTTTTATCATCTCAGCTGATGTGTGTTATTAGAGCATATTCCCATACAAGTTTTCAATTGAATTACAAACAAGCTGACACACAGCAAGACTGGAGCTATCGGGGCCACTCTAGGCAATCGGTCATTCACCTTTGTCCATTTGTCATCGAGTATTGGTGGATAAGTGGAGCAGGGGGCCCCCACTGTGCGTAGGAGCCCATAATTCCTTGCTACAGCCCTGTGCACGCATTCACCCACACTCACTCTGTTCTCTTCCAAATGGCAAGGCAACTGCATCTTGTCTATTTACAGCTTAAAATCATGCCAAAAATATCCATCTCTCATCTTTTTTTTTTGCCAAAACAACATTTTTTTTAGGACGCAGACAGCATAGGCCCTGTGGTCTAACGTGATTATAGCTGGAAGGAGGAGGACGAACTCAAATCGGTGTGCTTTAGAGGCAGCTAGCTGAGCTCAACACTATGAGAGCATAACGTGAAGTGGGTCATTAGATCACTGATTTGCTGGTTGCTGTCCACCCCCAAGTCAATACTTGTTGGCAGCTAAGAAATCTAATTTCTTTCTGCTTTCTTGGTGCTAACTAATGTTGTTGTTGTTGTTGTTGTTTGACACGAGCACATGAACGTGGCAGTGCGTTCAGAGTGAATAGCTTTGCAAAGCAATTCACAATGAGACCCTTTAAATAAGTTGTCAGCTATAGGGACAAAGAGCATTGGAGATGACGCCACAGTTAGACGGAAAGATGAAAACACTGATTTATCATGAAGTCATGGCGCGCTTGAACACTGGCATTGTTTCTTAGGATGTCAACCATGACCTCAGCCGACAGTATTGATGTGACAGAGCCACACGGGGAAAAAACACACAAACTGTAAGTGACAGTGTATCCCGTTTTCCTTCTGTCTCTAACCATCTTGTATTCTCTTACTTCAGCTTGTGCATTAAACATTACACATTTTTTGATCAGCCACTTCTGGTTGCTGAGGAACTCCGTGCTGTTCTGGGCCTGACAGCGACTTCGTCTTCATTCTGAATTTGACTGCTGTGGTCTGATTGAGGCCGAACGATAACATGCTAAAAATAGGCAGCCAAAGGCATAGAGGATAGCTGTTCTTTTAGGGGAAATTAAATTTTAGGCCGCGGTGCTGACTGCTGCAGCTTTTGACCAAAAGTGGTCATTGGATTGTTTTTCCCTGCGGCCTTCTTCCCCATGCTTCTTCCCTCTGTGGAGTTCCTTTTTTCGAGCCCGGTGACCTAACCTGTGAGCCCTGCTGCAGCTACCGTAACCACACATATGATTAAGAGATTAGGAGAAATAAATACTGAACAGGAGATATATATGTTTGTATATGTGACAGAAAGAGGAGAAAACGAGTGGGAGAGCATCAATGGTGAGAGTAAGAGCAAAAATGAGAAGGTTCAGATGTAGGCGAGAGGCTGTCTTATCGCTGCATGTCCATGGGCAACAATTTGGTCTTTTTTCATTCCCACGCCCTCTTTTGAAGTGTGTGAAATGGTTGCCAGACAGCAGCCTTCAGAAACAACTTCCTCTGTTTAGCGAATCTAGATTTTTCTTTCAGCCAGAGGGCATTGAATAATGCAGAGGGATGCTGTATGGCCCAGGGCAGCACCAGGAATACTGGCTGCCTCAGCTGGCTATTTAGCGAGGTGGCAGCCGATTCAATTTCTTTCCACACACACACTCGCTCATCTAAACCACATGCGCAGTCATTAAAGCAATGTTTGCACTTGTGTCAACATCTATCTGTCGTCCAGGACTTTGCATCAACATCAACAGGTCTCGGACACTGTTTACAAAGCCTGTAATGGACAGAAATGTAAAATTCATTTTCACTGGGGTGCGAGTGCACCAGCTAATTAGAGCAGAGATTCAACAAAAACATCAAGGAAATAGTAGTTGTTTCATCTCTAATTGGGTCTGCAACTGCAAAAAAAATATTTTTCATTATCGATTAATCTTCTGATTCATTTCTCAATACATCAAATAATAGATTTGTCTATAAAATGTTTTAATTGTCATAATTTCCTGACATTTTAAAACTGATTGTCCAAAACCCAAAGAGGAGACTAAGAAAAGCAGCGAATTCTCATATTTGAGAAAGTGAAAATAGATCATGTTGGCATCTTTAATTGCAATAAAAGAACTTTCCTTTTTGCTTTTGTGGTTTGAGAAAGCATTTGCTCTCTTCCGTGTAACAACCTCATACATAGCTGAGTTATTGTGAGTGCATGTAATGTCTTGTGAAAGAAAATAAAGTAAGTAAATGGAGCTTTTGAAAGCTGGGAATCATAGCACCTGGCGTAATCACACTATCATTATTTCTGACTGGCAAAGCAATTACACCGGTGAAAATGATGCAGGTAATAAATATTTTGTGCTCTGGGATGTATAAAGACACACACAATGCATCTTTAATGATAGACCTTAGGATAGGTAGTGTTTTAGACTTAGTTAGACCTTTTGGGAAATGTGCTTATTCGCTTTCTTGCCAAGAAATAGATGTGAAGATCAATATCATGCCTATGTCTGTGCATTATTCTGGAGTTGGAGCCAGGAGGTTATTAGCTTAGCTTAGCTTAGCTTATCTTAGCATCAAGACTGGAAACGGAGGAAACGGCAACAAAATCCTTACAAAAATCAAAACAATTTGTGGTTTTAGAAGAAGTTATGTGGTGTAATTAATTCTTAACATTTCTTAACAAACAGCAGTTTGTTCTGTGCAGCGTCTGATGGAATAATTCTGGGAAACCCGCTAGAAATGTGTCATTTTTGTGCACGGACAAGGTATACCATGTCAATTAGTAGGTGTTTTTTCTTCACAGGCTAGTTATTTCCCACTGTTTCTAGTGGTTATGCTAAACTAAACTAATCTCCACCTGGCTCTAGCTGCATACTAAACATGAGTGGTATCATCTTCTCATCTCTCTCTCTCTCTTCAAGAAAGCAAATAAGTGAATTTCCCAAAATGTCAAATTATACCTAACGCTGTCATTCTGCACTTGTACCATGGTTGGGGGGGGGGGGATTTGAATCCTGTGATCCCAGGATTTGATTCCAGCTTGTCGGAAGGTGGAAAGTTAAGAAATAAAACTGGATCCTTCAGTGTGTTCAACCCTGTCTACCACTGTACCGGAACCAATCAGTTTACTACCAGATAAATCATCAGTCAGTGTTGAATAACATCTGGAAATTTTTTTTTCTTTATCTCTCCGCACCACACACCCACTAACAGACACTAACGCAAATACAATTTTCAAAGTGTTAAAAATCGGTGTTTAATGTGAACATATCCATCGGCGGTCCCAGTCATATTAGATGTGGGCTCAGGGAGGGGATTTATCCGTTAAATGGAGATTGATTTTTAGCTGACATATGGGAATAACCTGCATGAAAGTGATAACCCTGGGCTCTCCATCCATAGAACGGCAACGTGAGCCATTTGTTCCTTTACTGGCATGTAGAGAGTCAGCTGTACTCTGCTGCTCCCTGCCTCACTGTCAGGATGTGGCTTCAGGCGCTGCAAAATTACCTTAACTGTGGAGTACAGAGAAAACACTCACTACAAGGCTGTTTAACTTGAGTGCGGGGGCTGCTTTACTGCTCTGTTTTGCCATTTTTTCAGCTTTTGTTCCGTTGATTTCTCTTTCTATCACGGCTCACTCTTTCATGTACTTTCAATCTGTGGTGTGTTTGTGAGTGGGTTGTGATAGATACAGTATGGTCACTAAATGGGAAGGAGGCGATGAGTGTGCAGAGTAAAGATGTGGAAAAATGCTAAAACTACAGGGACAATGACCATTTTTAGTGGTTTCCTCTGTGCCGTTATTCAGCTTCCAGCGTGTCCTTAGCTCAGCTTTGCTTCATATTCAGGCTGAATGGCCGTTTCATTTTCAGCTTCATTATTCATTTCTAGAATTGCTAAGCAGACAGGACTTTTGAGAACAACTGAAGCGGCGGTACAGCATAGCTCACCTTCTCTGTCACTTCATAGTGAAGGACATTTTATAATAAGAAAGGCTGGTGTTTAAATTTGAGGTATTTTTAACATGCTTATGTGCTTGTTTGTGTTTTACTCCAGGAACATGGGGTGGGTTACGTAGTTTAGATACTAAGCAGTTTGAATTCCTCCTGAGTTTGCTCTCACTAGATGAAAGAAAGCCGGCATGTGACTAATTGCACTGTTGGCATTACAGGATTAGAGAGTGAGCAAACGAAGAGAGGGGGAGTGTGTGAAGACCAAGGACAGCAATGTGTGTGTGTGAGAGAGTGTATGAATATTTATGTGTGGTTTGCAAGCTTGCAC